AGCCGATCAATGACTTTCTCACCATTGATGTTTATCTCTCTCTCCCTCTCCCTTCCTCTCTGAAAAGCAATGGAAAAAATATCCTCAGGTGAGGAGTCAAAAAAAAAGAGGCTACAGAGACAGGGAAGCAAAATGCCGTGTGGGATCCTGGACTGGGTCGAGGATAGGAAGAGTTACAGCTGCGGAAGACATTGGGACAGCCGGGGAAATCTGAATCTGGAGTGTATGTTAGATACGGTTTTGTATCCGTGCTGTATTTCCTGAGTGTGGCAATGGAAGGAGATCCATTCGGAGAGCATCAGGGGTGGAGGTCATGAGGTCTGCAACTTCCACATGGTTCAACAAGATAGAGAGATGATGGGTAGGGAGAGAGAGGGACAGGTAGGTGATATGTAGGTAGGTGGCAGGTAGGTGGGTAGGTGGGTGGATGAAGCATATGAGAGCGCTAACAGCTGCTAACTCTGGGTGAAGGACGCCCCCTTCCTGTAGCCTTCTGCAGCCCGCTGCAGTTGTCCAGGTGAGAGATGGAGAAACCCGAATTAGGGCAGTGGCTGTGGGTGACGAGGGGGCAGAGGAGAGAGATTCAGGAAGAGGACTTGATGGGACTGGGGACAGGAGAATACCCGGCTCCAGCCCCGGGTGTGGGTGTCTGTGTGGATGCCAATGCCTTTTGCTGAGAGTGGAGAACTGGGGAGGGGGTGCAAGCAGTGGCGGCTGAGGTGGATCTGGAGCCCCAGGGAAGAGGTGTAGAGCTGGGGTGCTCAGCAATGGGTCAGGGCCTTCTCCTCCGGCCACGCCTTCTCTGTCCTTTGCTGATGCCTCTTCCTCGGCTTGACCTTCAAAGCCCCAGAGCCCAGTCCTGGGTTCCCTTCTGTTCTCTCCCTGACAACTTGGCAATGCTTGGCTTTCAATACTATCTGAAAAATCAGCATCTCCTGAGTTCATTCCTCTGGCCTTGATTTCTCCCTGAACTCTATCTAGTTTATTGTACAGCCGACCTCTTCACTGGGGTGTTGATAGCACCTCAGACTCAGCACAGCTTCTTCATTTCACTCATTTGATAAGTATTTATTAAGCACCTACTGTGTGTCAGGCCCTGTCCTAGTGCTGGAGAACCAAAGTAAAGAAGGCAGACAAGATCCAGCCCACGGAGGTGGCACTCCAGTGGAGGGAAGCTGACAGAAAACAAATGAAAAGCCAGATCAGAGAGCAGTAAGTGATTTTTGGAGAATTAAGTCAGGAAACTGTGAGAGCGAGTGGACAGGGAGGGCCTCTCTCAGGTCAGGGGGTGACATTGTGGCTAAGATCTGAAACAGAAGGAACAGCCAGTGCAGAGGCTCTAAGGAGTGGACAGAGGTGCTGAGTTCGAGGAGCAGAGGAAAATGGGTGATGGGAGCATGTGGAACAGAGGAGAGGGATGGAGAGGAGGCTGGTGTGGGGTCACCAGCAACCTGACCCTCCCTCCAAACCTGTTTCTCTATAGTCTGTTCTATGTCATCAGTAGTGTAGCTGGCTCAGGCCCCAAGTCTGGTGTTATCCTGATTCTTTTCTTTCTTCACCCTTTATATCCAATTATTAGCAGCTCTGGTCAGCACTGCCCTCAAAACTCACCTCCAGTCTGTCCCCTTCTTACCGTCTCTCCCATTGCTTCCTGCCCAAGCCACCGCTGCCGATGGCCGGCAGCATTGCCAGAGCCCCTCAAGCTCTCTCGCTTCTGCCTGGCCCCCTTCAGTCCATTCGCCCCACAGCAGCTGGAGCCATCGTTTGTTTTTTTTTAACCTCAGCTAAGGAGGATATTTTTTCCATTGCTTTTCAGAGAGTGGAGGGAAAGAGAGAGAGAAACATCGATGTGAGAGAGACACATTGGTTGCCTCCAGCACGTGCCCGGACCGGGACCAGGGATCGAGCCTGCAACCGAGGTACATGCCCTTGGCTGCACTTGAACCCAGGACCCTTCACTCCATGGGCTGATGCCCTAACCACTGAGCCAAACTTGCTAGGGCTTGAGCCACCTTTTTAAAACATTAATCAGATCTTGTCACCTCGCTGCCCCATCCGACTGCCCTGCCCCCTTAGGCCCTGGGGAGACGGTGTGGTGAGAAGTAATAACACATGGGCACCAAACACCTCCCTGGTGCCAATGGCGTGATAGGCAGGCAGGATTTTGTACTAAAGACCTGCTCTCTTGCTCTTAAACACATGGGCAGTGGGGTGGGCGAGCTTCACTTTGTGACCTGCTTGATTAAAGGCAGTCACCACTGTCCACCTGGTGGCAGGGTCCCAAATTGCAGGTAGGGGGCCGCGGCCCAGGAGGAATTAGCCACATCCAAGGTGCTAGAAACTCCTTGACATCCCTCCTGGGGCACCTCCCAGTTTGCAGAGCACACTCTCCCCTTACCTCGAACCTGCCTCTCCTCTCTTTAGATTCCGGTGGTGGGAGCCGAAGCGCCGGCCAGCACTGGGCGAAGCTCCGGGGAGAAAGTGGGCACTTCCTGGAGCGGCAGCGGTCAGCGCTGCCCCAGGCTTCCTCCGCGACACCGCAGAGCGGGCCCCGAGCTGCCACCCCCCAGGCTTCCTCTCTCCATCGCTCTGCCCAAAGGGATGTTGCCCAGGCTGCTCCCGTACAACTTGATCCCCCCCGAGCTTCCTCTCCCTCCCAAGCAGCCCAACGGGACAACCCCAGAACCTCGTCCACCCAACAGGACACCCCCAGGACTTCTTCCATGCAGCGGAGCACCCCCAGAACGTCCTCTCCCTCAAGAATCGCCCAACGGGATAACCCCAGAACCTCGTCCACCCAGCGAAGCAATCCTCGAGTTTCCTCTTCCCCCAGAGCCGCCCAACAGGACAACTCCAGAACCTCTTCTGCCCAACAGGACAATCCTCAGGCTTCTTTTTCCACATGTACTTCCCAACAGGAAAACTCTAGAACATCCTGTGCCCAGCGGGACAACCCCAGAGCCTCCTCTCCCAGCAGAACCATCCAGCGGGAAAACTCTAGAACATCCTGTGCCCAGCGGGATAACCCCAGAGGCTCCTCTCCCAGCAGAACCACCCAGCGGGAAAACTCTAGAACATCCTGTGCCCAGCGGGATAACCCCAGAGGCTCCTCTCCCAGCAGAACCACCCAGCGGGAAAACTCTAGAACATCCTGTGCCCAGCGGGATAACCCCAGAGGCTCCTCTCCCAGCAGAACCACCCAGCGGGAAAACTCTAGAACATCCTGTGCCCAGCGGGATAACCCCAGAGGCTCCTCTCCCAGCAGAACCACCCAGCGGGAAAACTCTAGAACATCCTGTGCCCAGCGGGATAACCCCAGAGGCTCCTCTCCCAGCAGAACCACCCAGCGGGAAAACTCTAGAACATCCTGTGCCCAGCGGGATAACCCCAGAGGCTCCTCTCCCAGCAGAACCACCCAGCGGGAAAACTCTAGAACATCCTGTGCCCAGCGGGATAACCCCAGAGGCTCCTCTCCCAGCAGAACCACCCAGCGGGAAAACTCTAGAACATCCTGTGCCCAGCGGGATAACCCCAGAGGCTCCTCTCCCAGCAGAACCACCCAGCGGGAAAACTCTAGAACATCCTGTGCCCANAACCCCAGAGGCTCCTCTCCCAACCGAACCATCCAGCGGGAAAACTCTAGAACATCCTGTGCCCAGCGGAACAACCCCAGAGGCTCCTCTCCCAACCGAACCATCCAGAGGGAAAACTCTAAAACGTCCAGTGCCCAGCGGAACAACCCCAGAGGCTCCTCTCCCAACCCAACCATCCAGCGGGAAAACTCTAGAATGTCTTGCACTCAGCAGAACACCCCCAGAACCTCTTCTACCCAACGGGACAACCCGCAGTCCTCTTCGTTTCGGCGGGACAACCCCGGGAGCCCCTCCCCTCAGTGCTGCACCCAGAACAATCCTGGGCCATCGTCTCCCCACCGCCCCACTCAGCGGAACAACCCCAGGAGCTCCCCCCCCCATCGCACTAACAAAGACATTCCCTGGGCCTCCTTTCCCCTCCGGCCCACCCAGAGCGATGGCCCCCGGACCTCTTCCCCCTCTCGCTCCAAGCAAAGTGAGGTCCCCTGGGCATCTATTGCCCTTCGGCCAACCCAAGGTGACAGGCCTCAGGCCTCATCTCCCGCTCGAGCAGCGCAGCGGGACTCACCCCAGCCCCCCTCGGGCCCTCCCCAGCACAACTCGCCATCCCGGGCCACCCCCTCCTCTCACAACCCGGGCCACCACGGTGCCCCCCGGACGCCCACGCCTCTGCACCTCACCCGAGGGGCATCCCAGACCTCTTTTGACTCCTCCCAGCCTCCATGTGCTGTGTGCATTGGGCACCGGGATGCCCCCCGAGCCTCTTCGCCCCCTCGCTATTTGCAGCATGACCCGTTCCCCTTCTTCCCAGACCCCCATGCCTCTGAGAATGAATCAACGCGCCATGAACCCCCCTACATCCCCCCGGCCGTGTGCATTGGGCACCGGGATGCCCCCCGGGCCTCCTCGCCCCCTCGCCACACCCAGTTTGACCCCTTCCCCTTCCTCCCAGACACATCAGATGCTGAGAACCAGTCACCCCAGCATGACCCTCCTCAGTTCCCCCCAACTGTGTGTATCGGGTACCGCGATGCACCCCGGGCCTCCTCCCCGCCGCGCCAGGCCCCTGAGCCCTCCCTCTTGTTCCAGGATTTCCCCAGGGCCAGCACTGAGAGCCTTGTCCCCTCCACAGACTCCTTGCATGAGCCCCCCCACATCCCCACCCCTGTGTGCATTGGGCACCGAGATGCACCCTCCTTCTCGTCCCCACCACGCCAGGCCCCTGAGCCCTCCCTCTTCTTTCAGGACCCCCCTGGGACTAGTATGGAGAGCCTGGCCCCTTCCACCGACTCTCTGCATGGCTCCCCAATGCTGCTCCCCCAAGTGTGCATTGGGCACCGGGATGCACCTCGAGCCTCCTCTCCACCCCGACACCCACCCAGTGACCTAGCCCTTCTGGCACCCTCACCTCCTCCAGGCAGCTCAGGGGGCTCCCGGGGCTCAGCACCCCCTGGGGAGACCAGGCACAACTTGGAGAGGGAGGAGTACACCGTGCTGGCTGACCTGCCCCCACCCAGGAGGCTGGCGCAGAGGGAGCCAGGGCCCCAGGGCAGCAACGGGGGCCGAACCCGCAGCCCTGGCCGAGCAGAGGTGGAGCGCCTCTTCGGGCAAGAGCGCAGGTGAGCCCAGGGTGGGGTCAGCCAGGTGGGCTGGGGAGGAGGCTCAGCAGCAGGACAGGTGGCAGGTTCAAGGCTTAGGTTGCCAGATGGAAAGGGTTCAGTCCCCTGCCCTGCCACTTGCTGGCTGTGTGACCTTGGACAAGTCACTTCATCTCTCTTTCCCTGTGTTAAGAGTCTTTTTTGATGATGAAGTGATTTTGTGCAGAGCCTAGTGGTTAAGAGCAAAGATCAGGGTCAGGCAGGCTGGGTTCAAATCCTGGGTCAAAGCCACTCCCCATCTTTGTGACCTGGTAAAGTGATTTAACCTACCTGAGCCTCAATTTCCTCATCTGTAAAATTAGAACATTAGTACATTAATTGAAATGAGGTTAAGCTTTCAAACCCTTAATTTGATCCAGAGTCATAGGTTTATTATTATTATTTTTAATATTTTTTTAATCCTCACCTGAGTACATACTTTTAGTGATTTTAGAGAGAGAGGAAGGGAGAGGGAGAGAGAGAGAAACATGGGTGTGAGAGTGAAACAGCAATTGGTTGCGTCTCGTATGCTTCCCGACTGGGGATCAAGCCCGCAGCCTGGGTATGTGCCCTGACCAGGAATCGAACTCGCGACCTTCCAGTGTCCTAGCCGATGCTCCAGCCAACTGAGCCACAGGGCTGGGTTTATTTTTTTTCCCCTTCTCTTACGTGAGGGAAGAAAGTGCCTGTGATTTTTTTTTCTGCCTTAACAAAGAAAATTCACGGGTGCCCATGCCTCTGAGAAAACAGATGTCAGTTTAAAACATGGCCAGTGCCCTGGCTGGTGTGGTCCAGTGGTTGGAGCATCAGCCTGCGCACCAAGGGGTTGCTGGTTCGATTCCCGTCAGGGGCGAGTGTCTGGGTTGCTACCTGCTCCCCGCCCCAAGTCGGGCCTGTTCCGGAGGCAACCAGTGGGTGTGTCTCTCACATCCCTGCTTCTCCCTCTCTCTCCCTTCCACTCTCTGAAAAGCAATGGAAAGAAGTATCCTCTAGTGAGGATTAGCAAAAAAGCAAAATAAAAAAAACATATGGCCAGAGCCGTTATTTTCATTAAGAGAACTCAGAATCACAGACTTTTTAGAGGTTAAATGTTACTTCCCTGGGACATGGCAGCAAGGCCTGAAGTCCAGGCTCCTGCGAGTCTCCTTGGCGAGTGGCGCCTTTCACACAGGCGGCGGGCAGCTTATGACCCAGCGGAGCACATGCTTGCCCACAGCTGGGGGAGGAGCACTTCCCCTGACCTCGCTGAGGCTTCTCTCCAGCGGTTCTGGCCTCGGGGTTCTCAGGGTCAGGGCTGGGATCCGTTAGTTCAGGCCAAGAGAACTACAGAAAAGCAGGTCTGGAAGTCTCAACACTTTCCGTGTACAATGAATTGTAGTGTATTTACCAAGGCCAAGTTGGACAACCATCACCACAACCGAAAGTCAGAACATTTCCATCACCCCAGAGAGCCAGTAATATTTTGCATCCAGAATTCCTCATTTTCTCTGAGATTGGAATCCTCGAGAGAAACCTTATCTCTTATTTTTCAAACCCCCTTTTCCAATAAGTTCGATCCGTTTACTATCCAGGTGGCAACCTTTATGGTCTCCAGCATTAATGTAATTCTTTCTTTGGCCTTTTTTAAATTAAAAAACAACAAAAAAACCACACTAGGTTTTGAAGCAGTTTTAAGTTCATAGCAAAATTGAGTGGAAAGTGCAGAGAGTCCCCATACACCCACTTCCCCCCCATGCACAGCCTCCTCTCAGTGTCAACATCCCCCACCAGAGTGGCACATTTGTTACAAACCGTGAACCTACACTGATGGGCCATGTCGTCAAAGTCCATAGTTTATATTGGGGTTCACTCCTGGCGATGAACATTCTATAGGTTTGGACTAACATATAGTGACACGTATCACCATTATGGTATCATACAGAATAGTTTCACTGCCCTGAAAATCCCCTTGGTCTTTGCTTTTTTATGATTAGTATTTTTAGTCAGACATCAATTTGCATACTTTGACTTTATCTGATAACTCAGTAGGGCCACTAAGGTCTTTAAACCAAAGTTAAATTTTCCTTCTTTTCTTTTTTCCTACTGGGATAACTTTGAGAGAGATAAAGGTTTATAATATAAGTCCGGAATATGTTTATACTTTTATTAATCATTTAATTGTTTTTACACAGATACTTTTATTCATTTTATTTTACTCTCTTTGAAATAGATTATTATTTACCTTTTTTAAAGCTTTATTAAAGTATAATTAATACATAAAAACTGCATATATTTAATATATATGTTTTGGAGAAATAGATTATATACCTTTTAACCAAGGTTTTATAACTCTACTGAGTAATTAAATTTTCTCCTGTTGTATGGCACTTTTTCTAAGTAGAAAACCATTTGTACTCTGAAAATGAAATTTTAAAACCTATTTAAGTATCTGAAAGACTGAAATTTATGAGTGGGTGGCTTTAGAGCCTACTTTTATTTTCTCCCATTTCATTTAACATGTATTTATTGAGCATCTACTCTGTCCAAGCATTGTACTAACTGAGCCTGGAAATTTTTCCTTAACGGGCTGTCACATTAAAGCATTAGGAATTTTGGCTTGATATCATTTTCTTTCCCCCTGGATGCCTTTGGAATCTCGTATCTTAGAATCATATAAGCCCTTCGTAGTCTCTTGAATTCAAAACAGAGCCTTCATGGAACTTGCTAGACTTGACAGCTTTGCCCTTTAATACTGTGCAGAGGTGAAAGGGCCCATCTGAGCTTCCAAAGAAAACGCATTTCCTTTGTCACCGCGTGTGCAGCCACACCAGCCCTCAGGAACAGGTGACCCGAGGACTCTACTGCTTCAGTATCAGAAAGCCAGGGTCTCTGTTGGGGTCTCAGATTGTACCTGAGTCCTCCACTCCTATCTCTCACTTCCACACGGAGCGGGGACTTCTGAGGAGGAACTGAGTGAGCTGGAGTTTATATGGAAAATGCACTTGAGAGAGAACACGCATGTGCCTCACTACCCCGCACGGAGTACTCTCCATCGTTACCACAGTGTCCACCCCACCTAGTCGCATTTGGGGCTTTTGCTTCACCCTGGTTCTGGTAGAAACGCTCTCTAAGGCCTCAGACCTCACAGAGCAAGGAACCTCCCTCGCTTCAAATTAGAATAAAAATTTAACTTGATCAGGCAGTTCTCAAACTTAGAAACACTTACTCTAGTGAGAAGCTTTGGTTCCCTGTGAGTCAACTGCTAAGAACTGCTAAAAACTCCGGTTACTTTATGGATCCGATTCTAATGACATTGGTGAATGTTGTAAGACAACAGACCCCAAGCCCATAATTTGGTTACTCTCCGCAGCCTCTGTAGAGTTCCAGCATGGTGCCCAAGCTGGGGGCAGACTGCCAAGCATGCCCCCCCCCCCAAATAGAGGTTCCTCTTACTTCCCTCTGCTGGCTCTGTCAAGGCTCAGCACCAGGCATCTTTTCCAGGCTCCTCCCTGTTCAGCTCAGCCACCAGAGATACGGCTCCATTTGTCAATGTAGATGGAGCCAGACTTTCAAATCCTGTTGGACTAGATATCCAGTGGAGTGGTCAGGTCTCCCCCCCCCCCCAAATATGTTT